TGATTGGAACTTAGTAGATACGCCTCTCACGTCAGCTGGTCGACTGATGGCATGAAATGGCTGTTGTTTCCCGCGAACTTCAAAAACAGCTGATTCAGCAGTTGCTTCCTTTAGGTCTTTCAACTGTTGCTCTGTTCCCTCGAGAGAGGTAGCAATTTCTTCAATCTCCTGCATCCTGTTTCAATTGACGAAGCTTTCTTCGTTCAATTACATCTTGTCTTCCCGGTAGAAAATATCCATTCAAAACATCAACCGACCAATCGTAAAATTTCGGTTCCAAAGACACAATAGGAAATTTATCGTGATCTGGAAGCGTCCGGAAAACTCGTTGGAGTTCTACCCCACCAAGATGCAGTAGTTTAGCTTTCATCATACGTTGGTCTGTTATGGCATATGCTTCAAAATAACACTCCAACGATCCTTTCCATATTTCCCATTCACGTGACAACTTCCGTTTCTCAATTGACTCACATCGGAAGGGTGGAATTGGTCGGGCTTCATCCATCTGTAAAATGTATTTTATCGATACTGCCTTTAGTCTAGAAACTAAGAATTTGAACAGCGCATTTCAACCATCAGAACGAGAACGTTTATTTCCAACTTCCATGAAAACTTTAATAATTATAACGTTATCCATTTTTATTCATAGTACATATATTGAAAAATCATAATATGCACCTGTTCAACGCAGTCCAAAACATTAAATATACATAAACGCTACTATTTCAAATATTATCTTTTGTTATCGTCATGCTCTTTTTTTGAATTGTAAATGTACATTTCAAGGTTTTCCGAATTTCATATTTTTATTTCAAAATAATCTAAAACAAGTCCATTCACCTACCAAGAACGCTCCTGGTTCAAAGAATATTGTAACACATATATAGTGCATCTATGATCTATGTATGAACGCTCCTGGTCAAAGTCAACACTTCCTCATTTAAATTCACATTTATCTCTTCGATCGCTTCTGGTCGAAGGCACTTCCTTACTTTTCGACTCCATACTCCTGTTCACCTCCATCGAACGCTGCTGGTTCGAAAGATACCACCTTCTCACCCACAGTCTCATTCCATAGTCCATAATCAAATTATGGTATTCCATCACCTCCTTTGAACAATGCTGTTTCAAAAGATACATTTTTTCTCGTGTACCCAGTGCTCCCCTCACATGTTATATCCTCATTACAATGAATCATCCGTCATCACTACCAAAACAACTAATTTTGTGCTATCCAGCATGTTGCATCACACATACAACCACAGAGCATTTCACTACTTTGGAAATACTTTCCAACTTGAATTGCATCTAATTCATACTTTCCCATCAATCACCACTTATTCCTTCTGTGCCCACAAAAAAAAACACACTCACACTATTACCATCTATTACCACACAACATCAGCTGAGTTCAATACAAAAAGTTCTGGAATGCTCTCCATCCGATGAGTTGAAATGCCTGTTCCGCAAAGAATTCGCCATCTTGTTTTTTTTTTTAACCTTGTTCTTTTTAAGAAAACCTCAATCAAGCAGCCAAACCTAAATTACAACAATCAATACGAAACTAACGATTTTAAATTGGCTCACCACTTTAGTAGCCTATTGGTCCCAAGCAAACGATTAACGTACCCTATTCTAGTTGAAATTCTATTACTACACTATGTTTGTTTTGATTCGCTATGAAAGTTTGACAGATAACATCAGGGGTGTGTGGATTCATGCAGAACATGCAGGGGTGAGTGAAATAGCTTGGGACTGCTTGGGACCGTTGTTCTGGTACTGAGTGAGCCAAAAATAATAATGATTTTCTTCGGGACCCAGTGGTCTTAGAGTTACCTCTATGTAAATTACGCTTACCTTGCTTTATTCTCGTCGCCAGATTGTAGAATATTCCTTTTCCGAAAAGAACGAAAACAATCACTTTACTTTTTAACGCATTTATTAATCACCACTTGCTTTTTAAGTCGCACTCACTAACTCCATTAGCCAGTCTCCGTCCTCTCTATCGGTCCGCCTTCCTCTCTCGTTGACAGCCCACTTTTCCCTTTATCACCTCGTGTCATCGTCAGGTCGAAAGGTTGGCAGCAATCAGTACACAGGGGTGTGTACGACCCTACAGACACTTTTTTGACTAGTTTTTCACATAGTCACTGACAGACTTGATCCTCAAAAAAAACCTTCGTCAAAATCTCATTCAGTTTTTCGTCAATGATAAAAAAATTGATAATTTCGTGAATTCTGGACATTATTGTTATCCAGGAAGTTCAGGACGTAGATACTTGTTCACTTTAACAACTCCATCAAAATCTACACATTTTCGTCACTGACAGCTTTGTCATTGACAATTGACATGGTTTGCCTTGACGATGACTGTTAGCTCAAATTAGTGACCAAAGCAGAATTGTCAATATCACCGTGTATTGTCGAGATTTTGTAGCACTGCGCCGGAGAGCTCGCAAACGTTTACGTCTGGCTTTTATTACTGCTTCTACTTATTGGTTCCACCAAACGACAGCTTTTGGTCCTGTATTCCCTGTAGTTTTAGAGATTCATCTACCGTCTGGATAGACCCGGGTCGCAGAGATCTGCTAGTGAGTTGTTCGTAAAGTTTCCAGTTGGCCTTTTCGAACCAAAGTTGATATTACGGGAGTTCTACGAAAGGTCGAATCACAAAAGGCCGAATTACAGAGGGCTGAATCACAAAAGGCCGGAACACACAAAAAGGCCGAATCACAAAAGGCGCGCTCGCACCGGTCCACTTTGTCGCTTTCCCGATTTGGGCTTTTTGTTGATTTGTTTTTAATAACTTAAATTACATTACATTACAGACTATGAGAGGGTCAGCAACACTGCCAATGTAATCAAGATAGGCGCTGCTCGTATGGCTCTGGCTTTGACAGTTCGTTTGGCTCAAAACCAGCCAGTCCGCGTCTGCTCATTTCTTATCCTAGACCCTCTCTAAAGCTGGGTTAAGATGGTTCAATTCTACGTTCAACTCACTTGAACTGCGCAATGAACGTCCAGAAATCTGACCGATATCGGACTTGCTCTATTCGTTGCCAAGTCAATTGAACGCCTACGACCAGATCGGTTTGAGTTGAATTCAACTCACCTGCTGGAAAAATATCCATTTTAGCAGGTTCGTAATGTAATATCCTATCGATTGGCGTATTTGGATTTTAATTTCATCTATAAATGACAAAGTTACAAGCTTTCAAAACCTGACACTATTTCACCACACATATTTTTTGATTTGCACCCCTGTATAGTCGACAAAGACGTAGTTCTACGTTCTACGTCAACAAAATTGCACTAAATTTTGTTGTAATGTGAGATCAAAATACGAACGAAAAAAAAACCGCGTGGGAACAGAATTGTATGTATTGCATGACTAATACAAATAAATAATATAATAATAAATAATGATACTCTCAGCCCAGAAAAGTCGATAAAATTTTGGGGATTGAATCCGCCGCTTCCAGCTTGATAATACCATACCTTTACTGAGCCCCCCAAACAATAACCCTATTGCCTGAAATTATACTAATGCGTTCATAGTTTTTGTAACAATAGGGTAGAGAACTACTTCGGCCTAATCGCCCATTTTGGGCCTATCGAGTAGAAAACTTCAAATAAATCCATGATTTCAGAGTTAACAAGTCAATTATGCGTTTGGTACGATACTTCAGTTAATAAGCTACCGAACGAAGTCAATGAGAACGCGTGGTATGAAGGTCTGCACCTATTATTCCCAAAAACAAAAGAAGCGCTCCGACCGAATCAATTTTTATCATCATCCGATAGGCCGAAGTGAATGCAGTGGCGTTTCAATGGCGTTTCAATGCGTTAGGCCGAGTTTAGAATCCGTAGGCCGAGTTTGGCGTCAAGATGCAGTGTTAGACTTTTGACAATATCTCAACGATTGTTTTCTCTTTAGGGGTCGTCCATTAATTATGTCACACATTTAGGGGGGAGGGGGGTTTTGAAAACTGTGACGAGTCATACAAAAAAAATTAAGGTCCATACAAAAAATGTGACAAAGGGGGGAGGGGGGGTTTGCAAATGGGCCAAATTTGCGTGACATAATTAATGGACCATCCCTTATCAAATCTTACCGTACGTACGGAAAGGTAAATAAATTTGCCATCAGTAATAATAACATTCCGTTTGGTGTTAAACTGCGCTAGATTAAGAAAGACTAAGTGCGGGTTGTGCTTAATAGGCCGGAAATGGGGTAGTCAACCCTACTTATAATAATTGTCAGTTGAATTTTTCAATATACAAATAAACAAATAAACAAATAAACATGCTATTTTTAAATCTGGTTTACATGACCTGTTCCAAAATTCAAGACCAACAATTGAAATGGCCTTAACTAAGGCCATTTTCTCGCGAACGAAGTCCGCAAAGACAAACAGGTAGGGGAAATTCTCCTCTACACGGATAGAACTTTCCTTATACCTTTTGGCAAATTTCCATTGCTGATTATTCATAAAATGTATAAGTCAACTAATAAGCAGACGCCTTGCAAAAAGTTAATGAAGCTCATGTGTCTAATGAAATGTATAAGCGGTCACACATACCTTTTATTCATTCTTATAGGACCTATGTGGTTTGTCTTATGGAATGTATAAGGCTGATGTTTTGGCAAAAATGTATAAGGGAGCATCCATAAATGACGTAGCATATTTTTGATCAATTTTAGACACCTCCCCCCCCCCCCTCGTAGCGTATTTGGCTATATCCAATACATGGCCGGTCACAAATTCTGAAACCCCCACCTCCCCCCTCAAATGCTACGTCATTTATGCATGTTCCCTAAGTGGAACACATGAATAAAATAATTGATTTTCGTTTCGTGTACCCGATTGTGGTTTAGGTTTGCGAATAAAGGTTTCGGTTCGCGAGAAAATGGCCTTACAAGGTTTGTTTACAAAATGGAGTTAAGGCCATTTCAATTGTGGGTCTTGAATTTTCATGACCGCCTCGAGTATACATACCTCATCTCAATTTCGTTGGTGTATCCATTACCCATTGAATCATCATATTCTGGCAACGTATATTTTGCTCTGCGCATCATCATAATCTTTGGCATAATCTCCAAGAACAAACGTTTAACAATCGGTGACATTTTGTGTGTGGAAGTGCTCCTATGAATTAGCGAAAATTAAAGATGAGATCATTTGATTGCTCAATGTTTAGAATCGGTCATCCATTTACCTGTACCAAACGTTCAACACGCACACGGTTGTCCAGACAGAAATAGACACAAGAATCATCGTGAATAGGAGATATTTGCCCAACAATGGGACGGCTAAGGATGTTGGCGGTATAATCTCGGCCAGCAGCAAAAAGAACACCGTCAACGACACAAGAATGGAGATACACAGTGTTACCTTTGGAAAGAAAATATTATTGCTTCTGGCAAAAGTTCCGCATTATCTACAATACCTTTTCACCGGAATCACTCGGCAAATAGAAGACCAGGACGGTTAGGAATGTGATTCCAACGCATGGAATAATCAGATTTACGGTGTAGAACAGAGTTTTACGTCTCATTGTAAGTTTGAAAGTTATATCTGTAAATAATTAAATATTTGTACTCGCGCCAAGTAATAACAAACTGAGCTACTTTCAGCTACTCACCAGAGAAGGGTTCGGGACAACATGGATAATATTCTTCATTACGACTAGCTGGAACTTCTAATATGTCCCATTCCACAGAAAGATAGAATTCACTAAGATCGATTCCAATTTGCACCAAATTGCTTCCTGGAACCTGAGTGTTGGAAAGAAAACAGCAATATTGAACAGAAGCACCCCCAAAATTGTTTACCTACGTACCTGATCTAAATGTCTTAGTTCCACCTGTGCACCATTATAAGTCCAAGAACCAAACTTCATAAGACAAGTCTGTTCGTCGTAGGGGAAGTACTCCACATTCATTTCACAAGAGGACTTATAAATTGCCGGAGGTTCCCAAAACACCTCTCCAGTGTACTTCAGTGTGGCTTTGGTCATCAGAGTAACTTCATAGTTACCATCCCAGTTGTTGTACAACACTATATCAGGCAACCAAATTTGCTCAGATGGAACATAAAGCATTTCAACTCCACCGTACTCCTCTGGGTCCCACTTTAGCTTATAATCGTTCCATTTTTGCTTCACCCAGAGATTGGTTGTCATCACCTGATTTCGCAAACTAACTTCTATCAATTGGGACAGCTTAAGTCCAAGCCAAACTGTTAATGTTTCGGTGTTATTGACCACAGGTCGAATTAGACGGTTATAATTACTCAAGAGATCATCGTACAACCTTTTTGCATCTGGATTAGCCTCGATATGGACTACGGATGCTGAAAAAATCCAAATTCATTCAATCATTTACACCCACCCTTGAGATGCTACCGACAATCTTACCTTGGGCGTAGCTCAGTGCAACAAAACTCAACAAACAAAGTTTAAAATTAAGCAGTTTTATAAAACTTCCCATTCTAGTGTTTCAATTTTGCAGATAACGTTTCAACTTGCCAATTCAAACTAAGCTTACGTTATAATTGCAGCAAAACAGTTCCACTCCCTAGAAGATAGTGAAGCTGCAATGGGAAAAATCTTTTAGGATGCTGATAAATTTGAGCAACATGAAAAATCGATATTACTGAGAGCTAAGGATGTTAACGCTCCCATGGCCAGAAGCGCGCATGCGTTTGTTTACAAAACAGAGAGCCTTGAAGCACGTGCATTTGTTGATACACGTGGTACCTGTTGATATTTAGCACGTGCATTCCGACAATAAACAAAAATAAGTTAGTAGTGCTGCCAGGAATGGGTATGGAGGGTTTTCGGGGAAAATATCATTCTGTCGTACTAAAATATCGGGATCTGAGTCATTTTAAACTCTTAAATCTCTCTTCAGAGTCACTGATATTTTTAAATAATTCTGACAGCCAGCTCTTAGCCGTTGTCGAACCCGACGGTGGTGCACCTTACACCAGAACAAGCCGCGGCGACCGACGACCCGCGACATGAAGCATTTAAAAAGCACTAAGTTCTACTTTTACGCGATGTTCATTAATTCGGTTAGGTCTTTACGTAAGATGGGAACAGAATCCACAAAGTCTTCATATTTTCGTTGATTTTTGATAATTAATTTGATTATTTTTCAATTTCGTGGTGCGGACTCAAACACAACGAATCAAAATGGAACCAGCTTTACTTTGATTTAATCGATCCGGAACTCCTAATTATGTTTCAAAATGAGCAAAAGCAAAACTTATCGAACAATAAATCGCGCGATTGAGACCATCTCGCTGGGGACAAACGGAAACCAACAACAATGAGAAAAAATGTACAAGAATGTTTTTCAACTGGAACAAACTCACCATGATCGATGTCCAATGGACCCACACATTTTGAACCCAAACTGCACCACCTTTGCACTCAATTAACACAATATATAAATATAAATCAACATATACCAAATGTAAACATTTGGCCAAAGAAAGGAAGCTCATCTCTGCTTCGAAAAGTGAAAAAAAATCGATGCACTTCAGAGTGCCACCTAGCGGTGGAAAGTACGCTTTTTACACGGAAAATAATGGTAGGATTAGTCCAGTTTTAATGACTGCTTAAAGCGGTTTTATAAAAAAAAATAAATATTTTTCTACCAATACAATTAACCACTTCATTCGAGCAGTTAAAATGACGTTTACTACCACTCGAACTTTGAAATAAAACATTATTTTGAGATTGTTTCTTCTAGAACCTCGAGAAAAGTAGCCAACATTTGCGCGTTTCATAAAAAAATAGAAATTAGTTGGTCCAGTTTTGTGAAACCACTGGTAGAAAGTCACGCCAAAACTGCTTGACAAAGTGGTCAATTCATTTGTATAGTAACGTATACGGTAAAGTAGAAAACCGAAAATTCCGACACGGGCCAATTGATTTTACTCTCGATTTGTATGTAAAACATAACGTCGGACAAAATGCGACAAAAGTCGACGAAGAAAATCAATCAATCACTTACACCTGTTGCAATAACGACTTCTGCGGGGATTTGTGCATCCGTCAAACCGGCTAACATGCCCCGTAACGTGGGTAGATCACCTTTTCGTGGTACGTTACGGGATGTAAGATCTACTACCGATTCCTAGTCCTGACTACTTCAAACTAGGGGAACAGGATTTTTCAGTAATCCAAGGAACACATCTTAGACCTTGTTACTTTTTATGCCTTGTTGATAGTGACAAGACTCGGCTTTGTCTACCGAGGATGATCAAAATGAGTTAGTTGTCTTCATCTATGTGATTCCTAATCTTCTATTCATTGTTTCCTAGTTTGAAATGGTTAAGACTAGGGTTCTGATGCATGGTCATTATTGGTGTCATACCTTAATTTTGTTGCTAAGGAATCCAATTTTGACTGCCAAAGAGGCGCGCCTTTGGAGGGTGTTTCAACACTCCGAAGGGTATAAATAGCGGGACCTTTCAATTAGAGTCGGATCCTTGCGATAAATGCAAGAGTGGCAACTGTAAAAAAATCGAATACTTCATCATTTCTCAATAGTGATGGAGTAATACGACATGCACTAAACTAAGGACACGGGATATACTACAATAGATCAATTTACTGGTCGCAGTAGTGTTAGGTCCGGAACAGAGGAAAAAAACCGGCTAACATGCAAGTAATACGCCAACAAAGTATGAAGTATGGTTTTAAGTACATGCCTCTTTATTTGATTGCTGCACCAACATTTTGCCTGTCCCTAATCTGCCTAATGTTCTTTTATATGCTATCACATTCAACTTTTCTACTCACGGACCGTTGGCATATTGGGCTGACGCTTCAACCCCACTGTGCTGATCCAAATGGCTATCACCATCCGAAACTGCTGCTTCTCGCTTCTCATGGGCGTCTCGAGACGCTGTTAGACCAGCCACCTTCCTCTTCCGATGATCACTCGCGAACGTCACTTCATGCGGCGTACCAATCGCCGGGATGTTGTCAAAGATCTGCTTGCGCGAGGACGTCCGCTCCAGATGGTACCGTTTCCAGCTGCAACTGCACGCCACCGCTCGCCATTCAAGAACCCGATTCGGTGCGGGTATGCGTTAACCGTGCGTGTCGGTGTCCGTGCCGCTTCCCGATACGTCAATAAATGAAATCTTCTTAGCTGTGAATTAAATGAAAAAAAAGAGCCCTACGGACGAATACCGTTAGTCCGAGTAATGCAGAACAGCACGATGGAGTCTTACTTCCTGAAAAGGCTCTTTTATCTCGTGTAATGGGTTTCTTGACGGCTTGTGGCTTGTTCGATGTTGTCCGTGCGGCGGATTGCGGGTTCGGATTGTTCTTCGCTGGACGTGGGATCGATCGATTACAAAATGCTCGTGGGATTTTGGCAGACCTGGTGTTGTAAGATGGCCGGTACCATAATGTCACGTGCGTGACAGGAAAATTCAGGGTCTTCTCGTCACCCGTCGCGTATCTTGGATTTTTTCTCACTCGCGCTGCGACACGTCGCGTGATTATGTTTTCACGGTGTAGCTCACGGCTGCCACCAAACCTCACCAACTTCCTTGATTGCCGACCGGCTGCTGCCACTTACTCCGCACCAATCGTTCGACGACCTTTCGACTTCAGCCCCGGACACGAACTACTCTGTCGATGATGTTTCGTTGCTTTCGTTCTGCTTGTTAGTGTGTGTGCGGCGGAAATCCCATCGCCTGTCAAACTGCAAGCGAATCTTTGTTCCTTGTTGATGTTTCAAGCGAGACGCCCCTGCAGCACGACGTTTCGGTGATGCACGCTCGATGAAAATACTTCATTTTAGTTCCTTGTGTCAGGCTTACACACTGAACTTATTTTCTTCATACCTCTTAAAATACTAACTTTGCAGAATAAAAAAAACATTACTCAATTGGCACAGAAAAAAATAAATAAATCAGTCCCGGTTTAGATAAATTTTGACAATTTTAGGACAGTAAATTTTAAAGATCTAGGATATAAATGAAGCGATGCATTTAGAAACGTGGAAAGCTGTAGTATAGATTTAAATGTATATCTAAGTTAGCCATGAGTATTTTATTAAAATTATCGATTTTTTCTTTGTAGTCGCTATAGCGGAGTGGTCGTCTTTTTAATTTGCTCAATTCCTCACAAGAATAGAATCTTCTGTAACACCTCAAACATAAAAAACTCATTTCACATCGGGACATAGACAACTTTTCTAGATCGCAGTCTAAGAAAAAATCTCATTATTCTGAAAAGAGAAAAATTTTCCCAGATAGAATGATCACGGACATAAAATAAAATGTGAATGCTGCTAGGACTTAAAATCTCGATCGTGAAAAACTATGGATTGAGGGATAAATTTAAGAGTTTTGGACCAATTAGCTGGGACTTCAAAATTTTAGATATCTAAGACAAATCAATTGATTAAATTGAGCGGCCTAGAATAATTTTCTATATTTTGAACATATAGAATGAAAGTTCACATTACTTGGCCAATTTAAATGATCCTGAAAACCTGGATTTGAAAATTGTATGATTCCGGATTACCGGATTTATTAGACCGGAAAAAATAGAATACAATTTAATGGACTCAAGATTCTGTGACATAATTTTTTTTCTCGATGTTTGGACAAATATAACTACCAGATTTTCGGCCTATTAAGCACAACCCGCACTTAGTATTTCTTAATCTAGCGTAGTTGAACACCAATGTTATTATTACTGGTGGCTTCCAAATTTATTTACCTTTCTTCTTAGTCTAACACTGCTTCTTGACGCCAAACTCGGATTGGAGACGATTATAAATTCCATCGACATAATCACGTAGCTTCTACGAGATAATCCAGTAACCATCTCAAATGAGTGCTTCCATGTATGAATCACGTAACTCTTACGTGAAAAGTGCGATGGAAAAAATCTATGTATTGACGTAGCATTGACGTGAAAATTATTTTGAGTGTAGATCACCGGAGTCGGTAGAATTTTAGCGGGGTTTTGAACAGCAGAACAATGTCGGTAAAATTTTCAAATGATCGTTACACGTGACAAATCAATAAAATTAACTAATTTTATTTTGCATAATTAAATGGGGTAGTTATTGGATTTTTCACTGATTTTTAAGCTTTAATTCAAAATGTACCCAAATTTATTGTAGTTTAGCCCGGTGGAGGCCTCAAAAAGCCAGAATATTGGGTATGAACATTTCTTTCGACAATTTCGAGATCACAGGAAAAGAGAGAAAAAAAAAGTTTAGACAAATTTTGAAAATAACGGGCTAATAATAAGATATTCAACTGTATCACGGAATTGAAAAAAAAATTATCAAAATAGTCAATAAGTGTGTAAGTGAGTAAGTAAGTGAGTAAGATTTATGAAATAGTGATGAAAAAAGTGACTTTTTAGTGACTGACTTGAAAATAGTGACATAGCCACTAAAAAGTGACCTGCTGCCAGCCCTACAAATACTGATTATTTCGACAAAAAATATGCTTTCCTGAAATAAAACGATTGCAAAATCAATCGCTTTTTTTGCACTTCAAGCTCGATTAGAATTATTTCATAAGCCTATCTTGATGACATTTTTCTTGTCAATAATTATTACAACACTGTAGTCTGAACGTACTATGCTGCCGTTATACGCATAACTGTCCCATGTTCTACGCAATCCTTATGCACCGTGGGACTCTTATGCGTATAACGGCAATATAACTCAGCCAATATTTTCCCCCTTCATATTACTTTTCATTTTTGCTACCCAAAGCGGTTTATTTCGGCCTTTCTTTCAGAATAAGGAAACACAAAATAATACGATGGCAGAAAACTGTATTTACAATTTTTTTCTGTTGTTGGTATTTATAAACTGTGAATCTCGATGTTGCTACGAGCGAATGAATTGAAATCATGCAATGTAATTCTTATCAAACGCATTCACGTGGTCAATAAAATTGCAAAGGTTTTCTATTTATTTACAAAAGAGTAGACAGTTGTGTGTTACGTGTTGATCATTCTATGTCTACTGACTAACAACATAGGGAAGCGTATTTCTGTTTGTATCATCATTGCCAATGTTTCAAGAGGGATGGACAGGATATAAATTAAAATTGAATACATACATACACAATTAAGAACAGAGAATTTTGGGATAGTTAATGAAAAACAGTAATATAAAAGGCCATTTTTCACACTGTTGCCGACAACCGATAACCTACTGCAAGTCCTGCTGCACAGGAAGTTGTACACCGAGTGAAACGAAGTCAGTGATCTCTTTCAGTATTTGTATATCAATGCGTGAAAGCAAAGCTTGATATCGTTCATCTCCGATGTTTCCTTTCAAAGTTATTAGCTAGGAAAATAGAAAGTTTGTTAAATGTTTATTTGAAAGGATTTTCTTATCATTGCAGTACCTGGTTTTGGAAATAATCCTTTAACACGATCACATGCGTTGGGTCTTGCAAACACACTATTCTACACCGGTCGTAATGAGGAGTCTCATTCTGCATATTCTCTGTGTCGATGAACCCATAGCCGAACATCATCATTCCAATTTCTGCTTCGTTATCATCGGTTAGAATAAGAGAACTGATAAGAAGAAAAAGACAAATGATCAAATCCAGCAAGAAAATTGGAAGTTATATAAACTTACTCCACTTTCGTTCCGGTTTGCTCGTCTTCATTGGTGATGTCGTTTAGCGTTTCGCTAATGTTGGTCATGATGCCGCTAAAGTTATCATAAATAATATCACTTGACACCGTTATGAGACTAGTAAGCGCCAAAGCTAATAGTTTCTTTTCATTACTCCTCGCCACCGCATGCATATCAGTCAGCCATGAAGTAACAATCTTCTCCATTGCATCATCAATGCCCAGCTCATTTAGGATCATGCTAAATGTGACCTGATCTAGTAACAAAATCCTTGCCACCATCTGCAGGTAGATTTGGTTAATCTGGAGAAAGCCCTCGTGTTCATAGTATTTTCTGGAATTGAAGAGAAACGTTATTAGAAAATGGGCATAAGACAATAAAACAAGAAGACTGCAATTTCAAACCGATAGGTACATGCTGTTTAAGCTCAACATAAAAAAAAACGTACTTAAAAACTTCTACCAGGTAGGGCCTGAGTAACTCGATAGAATACTTTGGTGCAATCCGAAGAACGGTTAGGAACAATCGGTAGATAACGATGACTCCCTCCGTTCTTAGGTCAGTCAGAAGGTAGTGGCAGGTTTTAATGATATCTTTTCCATACCGCGGAAGAAATACATCGGGACATAAAAATATGTAGGTCTGAGTGATAGCAAGACAGGTCCGTAGGTTAGTGGAAGATTGCTCTGAAAGCAAAATAAAACATGAGTTCAACGAAAAAACATCTTTAAATTATGTTCAACTTACCAATCAGGGGTAGCAAATTATCACAGAGCTTTAGCAGGTCATGGTTCATCGTTCTGCTGTACTGCGCAACGATTAGCCACAATTCTAAACCTTCGTCTAACAAGTACACGTGCGACGGTTCATTGATATTTGTACTCATCTCGATGATTTGGTAGATAAATGCAACAATCGGTTCCGGCGAGGGAATTTCGTACAAGGCCTTTATGATCTGCAGCTGCAAGGTACGATGCAAAAACAATAAGTATGGGTCAGAAGCACTTTGAAATGTCCGAATGTAAACTTACCAAAGTTGAGATTATGGCACATCGCAACATATCATGTTCACGACTTTCATCCCACAGCAGTGGTAAATATTGTATCAGATTCTCCACCTCCAACTTAATGGACATTGACATCTTTTCGATGATGAATGACATTACATAAAGTACAGTCATCTTGGTATCACATCCGTTAGCTTCCTTTAGGAGGGAGAATAGAAGTGCGATAACCGGTTCCAAAAATTCAAGGAACTGCTCCGCATCGAATTCAAAATCGTCCATGATGTTTTTGAGGGTCCTGGGAACAGTAACAAATGAAACAATGCATTTCAATCAAAAAATATAGGCTCTTACTTTGAAGCCGTGAGACGAACTGCCAAGTCTTCGGAGGGATGTAGCAGCTCGAGACAAGAACGATATACTTGTGGTCGTAGTGTTTTTGAAAATCTAACTCCTGTCCATCGCCCTATCAGCCAGATGATACGTTTGCGTATTATGCGGAAGTTGCGTGATTTGAACTTAAGTTCCTCAAGTAGCTGTTGAGTGAACCATTCGTCAAAATTGATCTGAAATGTAAGATGATATACAAAGATTGATTGAAATACAAAGCCTCATACATATGATAAATCACCGATTTCGGCTTTATGTTAATACAAACCTATCCAGTTGCTCTACATGGGAAAGCCGTCAGTACCATGCACAAATCAATATATAACATCCTATGAACCATCAGCTTTTCACAAAAACTTGAAAATCTAAAACCTTCAGCTAACGTTTTGGCAACAGAATTTAGCGCACTATGTGTATCAGACTATGGTTGCTGTACAACTGATCTGAGCTAGCGAGGTCAAATCATCGAAATCTGTTCTTTTTGTACACTCACTCCACAAACAATAGCTGCTCTCATTCGAGTGCTCATTATTGATCTTTCACTGTTACCCTTGTTGGTCGGTAGTAGATAATGAACGATCCTGTCATCGTGTGCCATTAGCCAGAAGAAGAAACCAAAATAAAGTTGACTCTAAATGTCTATCAGACTTTTCTGTTTGCCATCAAGCAACAAGTGCACGCTCCCTTCGAGTAGATTAGGCGGTAGGTAACGCCTCCTAGCAAGTGCCTACACTCGTGCACAAATGATCGGTCCATAGTATCAATGTTGCCGCCTACCTATTAGTATGCTACCTGACCCAATTTCGAGGGGATAGATTTGGTTTAACGATTTTTCATCCCAATAATAAAATCGAATCATGAAACGAGTGTGTTTGTCACTTCGGTAATCTAGTCGACAAACACCAAAATACTTGGCAAACAGCGTACAGTGCAACTGTATTAACGCGAAGAAATTTAAGGGTATTTAGTAGGGTGGTTCAAAATATCGATTCACCTCCAACCACTCATTTGCATGCGAATTCATACTGCTCTTGTTCTTTGAAGTTTATATGGGAATAACTATAGGAAAATGAACTTTTTGTTCTCATCGTTCTATACTTTCGCTGTATAATGATATTCTAAAAAGTTTACTATATGTACCAATGTGACATTTTCCCAGCTAGAACTTTGCTGAAAATCGAACGTCAGGATAGTTATGGTAATAGATTTCTTTATTATATGATCTAGGGACAACAATCCTTCTGACTTTTTTCAGTACACCACTAATACTGCTAGTGTTTAAAGAATTTAAAAACATCAAAATCCGAAAAATACGTGCATCGCTAAAAAGCTGGAATAAACATCGAATGTTTATTAGCTCTTCGGAATGTAGATAAAGTTGCTTCCATTTAATTTCGTGCCGGCTTATCATGAGCAACATTTCAACAAGAGATAGATTCAAAGTGAAAGATTGTAAACCGAACCTTCTACTGGAATTCCGCTAAATGAAACAAGTTTTAAGGGGGTATTCCCGATCTTTTTTTTCAAAAAATCAAATTTTTTTTTTCACGTTTTTTTGTACTTTAGACTATATACTTTCATCCCCCCAAGCCGTTTTCCGATCAGCGAATTCGGTGTCCAGGCATAGCTGACTAATGGTAAGAACCCCCAAATGGTTTTAACTAAAGTCAAAACTTTAAACGCGTTTTTCTCGAAACCACATTTTTTTTATCGGGCGAAGATTTTTCTCAGAAACTATAAGAGATATTGACTTGAATCTTTGCGCATTTTGTTCCTTATTAAATTCTTTGGAGCTTCTCCCACTTTCAGCCAAAAATATTAACATTTAACATTGTTTGAAGCACCTTAAAGCTGCAAAAAAGCGGGCTAAAAATCGCCTGTTTTTTCATATGGCCGCCATTTTGTTAATTTGCAAGATTTTTTGCTGCCAACGGGAGAAGCTCCAGAGAATCTTATGCAGATTATTAATTCATCACGAAATCTGTTTCAGATGAAGCCGTTCCAGAGAAAAGTCTTCGCCCGTCCAGGCGTTTGCGGCGAACAGGGGTCTGTTTGCCGCCATTTTGTGACGTCAATAATGTCTTTTTTTATGTCGAAAAAAATTTATTTGTAAACTTTAATGTTCAATAAACAAGAATCCCAAAGAGTTAGGCGCATTACTATTCATTTTCCTTGAAAAAAAATTAATTGAAAAACAGGCCGAAAAAAGGCAAAAGATTGGGAATACCCCCTTAAGGAGCACTTATATGTCAATGTTTTGCAATATTAAAATGCTACGAAAAACGTGCCATTGATGCACTTCAAATGAATTTAACAAAATAGTTTTATATGAAAAATGCGTATCATTTAGCGATTGTAGTAAATTGTAATATTTGTCATTAATGTTAATAATAACCATAAATATTTATGGCGTTCTTTTGTGGCAGATTTATACATTTTCGCCCTTTTGTGTTTCGGCCTTATTCGATTTTCTGGCTTTTATGGTAGGTTCATACATTTTCGGTCTTTTGTGACTCGGCGGATCATATAACTTTTTGATAATAATTCTGTGGGCCGCACGAACAGTGATGTCAGATTTCTTTGAGATCAATTCCATTGATGTCATAAATTTGATAGTGATGAACAGGGGGTGGGAGTTTGGTAAGACGCCTTTTGGGGTATAAAGGGCACACAAAAACATGGGCTACAAAATGATGAGTTGACAACCTGGAAGGAGAGTGATTCCTAGCTCCAGTCCTCACAAGTCCCTACCTCACGCCTCCACGAGTCATATGATTACAAACGACTACCAGCTGAAACATGGACAGAGCTGGGTGGCGTAGCCTGGGCAATGTTGTCAATCCGACAATAGCAAAGTGAGGAGGTGCGAAGCCAACACTGACGTGGTAACTATAGCACGGCGGTAGAGGAAATCCTTCGCGTCTGTCCACCATAGAGTTGAGTCTCAAAAAGCGTCTGACTGGCATTGAATAAGAAATGGTCTTCCCCGGAAGCTACACCAACCACCTACAAGAAGGCTAACAAAAGACAAGAAGGAAGATGGTTATCAGTTGGGTAAGGTGAATTACCTATGGATCCACCAAAACCGTTTTTGGCCCTTCATACAGTGACATGTTGAGGACAATCAGAGGTTATTGACAAATCCAAGTTTATGCCGGCCACCGCGGCGCTGTAATCGTAGCGGTGATGAACTTTAGATCATCTGTCAAACTACATATATTTTCAAGTTTGTGATAAGAAAACTATGAGCAACACAATAGTTGGGTAAAGAAGAATTGCATTATAACACACCATCGACTGGAAATGCTCTCGCAACGTGGGGCTTTAGGTAGTGATAAAAACGTCGCTAGAACTATTCCACAGCCGCAGTCAGTTTATGAGCAAAAGAGGGACGCACATTTTTTGCCTGTAGACTTGGAGACATACTTCAAGTCTCCACGTACATCGTACGGGTTAGGCAAAAGATGTGCGTCTATCTTCAAAAATTGTCGCATTAATGGCCCTCGCTCATTTTCAACTTCTATTCAATTTTCATACTGCCGTACTCTAACGGAACTATCCACATACTCTCTTCTAAAAAGATCATTCTTCAGCTAATAAATTATCACACTAAAGCTTCATGTTAGCATTTCCAACCAACTCTATGTTTTACGTGTTATTGTAATTCCTTTATTCAATAACAGAAAGCAAATATGAACAGAAAAGTAGCGCCGGTATGAATGGTAAGTAAATCCTAATTTTTAAATGCAAAATTATTGAGATTTCTTCAAAATTAAAAATATGTTGCTCCCAGCAACAAATAATGTTAACAATATTTTTACAGGATTCAAACTGAGAATGCAATCCTGTAGGATAATCCCATCGGAGATAGAATTAAATCAATTAGTTTTGCTGTTTGAGGTGAGTTGTTAGAACAATTTTACATATTGAAGCAATCAAAACAATATATCGTTCCATCCGCAGGAACATCATCTTTCCTATACACAGCAAAAAAAATGTAATATTGATCGATGTAATTCAAGCTGATGTATGAAATAATGATGTAAGCAAAAAGCAGATACAATATTACATCAATGGATGTAATTTTGTTCGCAAAATCGATGTACACGTTGTACGGTTATATCACACAACCGATGGATTGACCTGGTTGCAGTAGTTTGGATGTAATATTCAACAACTGTTTTTTTCTGTGTAGCTGAACCTGAATCTTTCCTATAGCTGAAGGAATATAGCCGAACGGAAACCCTTTCTTCTGTGACATAAATAGAATCTCTCTGGTAAGTAGAATTAGATATTTAAGTGCTTAATTATTGAAATAGCATTGAAATAAAAAAAAAATCGTAGAACAAACATGATAAAACCAACTAAATTCCTGCATGCTTCGATCGATGGTTGCAAATCGTATCTGAATACAATCCTACCGTATTAAACCAACAACCAGCATCGGGTGCCTGCATTGGAATACATTTTACAAAGGGGTTCTTCTATTTTTATTTAATTTGGTTGGTCACGCCCTAATAAAAAAATACCATAAACGAACGATAACTCAAATCATTGAACTATTCCACAAATGGTTTGGATGATACCTTGAACACGTCGTTAAGCAAATTAACCATAGAATTTGTATTATGGCGTCTCCATATCAACATTAATTGATGTTGTATGGCTGTTAACATAACCATGTCCATAACCTTAGCATGTTTTTTCAATTTTATTTATATTTTATATAGTTTTTTAGGTTTTGTAAAAGATTCATTCATTTTAATAGCATATTTACACGAACTAGCACTGTAATTTAACAAATTTCCATAAAAATAATGAAATTTCCAAGGGCTGTCACTATCTGATCACCTTCGGATAGTGCTTATTCCTGTCACCAGGCGCGCATTAGTTTAAGTTGGATTGATCAAATCAAACAGTGAGGAGCGTCGACTGCTATCGGAGTTAGTTTCCGTGCTACAATGAGTGATAGATAATTATCATCATAAAGGGCACAAAAAACATTCATTCCATAGATTTCACATACGAATCCGTATTTCTGGAAAATTCGGTTAATTCTGTAGGCCTGGCCTCCACTGCGCACAAATATAATTCA